TTTTCCATTGGGAAAGGAACTCATTGCAGGAGCATAGACAGGAGTTATGTGGCAGGATAACCCTATCACAGCCAACTCCTGGGAATTGCTCCAGAAGTTAGAACTTTAATAGGCACTCATCTCATATCTTGATACTTCCTTAGCGTCAGAGACCAACAAAAGGTTCCAACTGACCTAGCTTTAATCGCTACCCAGGAGATGATAGAGGAATTAAAATTAATCAGACTGATGCACTCTGTCTGGGCATAACCCCTGATTTATTTCCTCCTTTCTCTCTTCAACTCCTATGCCAACCCACTCCCCAAAAACCAAATCATGCTACAGCGGACCTGCCCTAACAGCCCACGGCCTAACCTACATTTTCTGTGAAGGGAAAACTGCTACAGCTCAAGGATTATAAACAGAGCGAATGCATTCAGTCAGGAGAGGCACCAGCTGAGCTTGTGGATTAGGAACTGAGGGAACCTTGGTCTTACTTTGAGATTAGAGTACATTCCTGGCATCACAGTTGTATCTCCCAGGCAATAAAGAAACTACAGGGAAACAGCTTCTAATAGCATTAGAAAATTAAATTGTTGTTTTTGATTTGATTTGAATGCATTCAGTACTACATTAAAAGGGATCTTGTGTTAATACAAGTTTTATTCATAGAATCAGATTTTTGCCAGACAGTGAGGATTTTTAAAATCAAAGCTGATTAAGTGATCCAACCCAATGCCACTTTAAATTTTGATCAAAAATGCTACAGGGAATGGCCTTTCAAGTGCATACCAAGTTTTTAAAAAATCACCTTATCCATCAAGCCAACTATCCAACTATCCAACTACATATGTCCATCTCTGCTCTTCTACATCGTTCACTTTCCCAAATGCATAACCTCCCATCCAACATGGAATTCTGTTTTTTTCTGAAGAAGGGTCTAGGCCCGAAACGTCAGCCTTCCTGCTCCTCTGATGCTGCTTGGCCTGCTGTGTTCCTCCAGATCCATACCTTATCTCTGGAATTCTGTTTGTCACTTTTCTATCCAGCTATCGGTAGATTCCCACACAAAAGATTTTGCCCCTTCCTATTGGATGGGCACACACACACACACACACACACACACACAAAAAGGTCTTAATATCAAACCTTGAAGGCAAAAAGCTTTCCAGTCACAAACACTCCCACTAACTATCACCCTTTAAGGCACTGCACCAATTTTGAATCCAACTTGACCCTGGATCACACAGGCCTTTAACAGTAGAACTTTGCCAGGGCCCTTGCCAAAATTCATTCCGCCTACATCAGATGCTCTATATGCTGCTTGTGGAATTTTGGTAAGAGGATATGCCTTGGAGTACTACAGACCTAAGCTTGATTTCCATATGAACGGACAACATTGACTGCTCCTTCCACACACACACTCTCAGTAATTTACCTGGGATGAAGGTACAATTCCCTTTCATTCTACTCCAAGCTATAATGGCAGTTATGGAGTCTCCTGGTTATCTTCAAATTCCACTAATTTAATCAGATACAACCTTCTCACAATCAAGCCTTAAAATATAACTTTTATTCTCCTTCAGAGTAAGAGATTGCATATTGGTAAGAATGACCTGCCTTCAGTTACTTGTACTGCAATTATAGCTTAGAATGGAGTGAAAAGGAATTGTATATTCTAAGAAATTACCAAATGTGCATGCGGAAGGAACAATCCGTGACACTGGTCCATATGAAAACATGGGTCTGTCATGCTAAGATGTGTTCTCTCTCACCAAACTTCTGTAAGCAGCACATTCAATGAAGCCTCTTGCTTTTTATCCACAAGAGCGCAGATCTAATCTCTTTGCATTCAGTCTCATTAAAAGTATTCTATTGAGTGAAGCAAAAGTTACTCAGTTTAAATAAGCCAGATTAGTACATTTTGGCAGTAACTTCAAGTCCGATTTGACACCTGGCTTACATTAGCTATGCTAAATGACAAGGTATGACTAATTCAGAAGTAAAGTGCAATGCCAAAATTAAAAGACTCATTTCAATTTTAACAATAGCTTATAAAAGTGATGTATAATACCAATCCATTCAGAATTGACCCAGCAAGACATTAACAAAGAGGATTTTTTTTTTTTTTTTTAAAAAGTCATTTGAATACATTGTTTTACTTTTCCATAAAAGCCAAATTGTTTAAGTCTTGCAAAACTTAGTAACAATTCTGATCATGGATCAGATTTTATAGCCAGCTTGTGATTTCTGAAGTTTTGTATTTTCCAAATTCTTAAATGGAGTGTAATGAACAGTTGCCAGGTGAATATATATGGTTAAATGATGGTCCACCAGCAGAGTGGTTGTATTATTGATTGTTAATCCAGGGAGCCCTTAGGTAATAATCTGGTGGCAAGCTCAAATCCTAAGGAAGCAGCAGAGGAGTGATCTAAATTAACAACTGGTAGCAGAGATGCTATGAAAATTCATGTTAAATCAATTTTTTTCAGGGGATGGAAACCTGCCATCTTTGCCAAGTCTGGCCTACATGTGACTTCAGAGCAATGGGATGGACTCCACTGCCCTCCAAACAAAATGGTAGAGTCACCCACAGCTGCTGCAATAGTGAAAATCCAAGGGTCAGTTGTTTTGTTTTCAGAAAAAACACTTTAATTCTAAAGTTTAAGGCTGAAATGTTACTAGTCATCAGATCTTTGATAATCTGAAGTTTAGGATTCAAGTCAATCATCTGCAACAGTGTGGTCAAAGTTATATCAGGATCAAGAAGCATCTGGAGCCCTCTTGGCTATTTTTGAAAAAAGCCAAGACTACCTCTGAAGAGCTTGCAAATAACGATAAAAACCTGAGAATTAGTGTGTTTGGAAAATATGGTTCATTGGTGTCACAGGATTGAGACAAGGCCATTCAAGCTTCTTGAGCTTGTTCCACAATTCAGCGAGATCATGGCTAACTTGTGGCCTAATTTGATTTACACCTTTGGCCTGGTGTCTGTTCACTTAAATTTCTCATTACAAATTTATTTTAAACACTGCTTCTGCATCCACTGCAGTTTGCAGAAGCAGCTTCAAACATCTACTGTTATGTAAAATGCAGTGTTCCTGAAAGCTGAGAGAGAGTGTGCGCGTGAGTGAATCCCAGAACCTGGGATTGGAGAGACTTAAAAGTTGATCCATTGGATGTGGCCAACACTTGGTCCTGTGCTTCTAAGAGGTACACACTGAGGAAGCATCAAGACATAAAAATGAAGTGTCTGAAATTCCATAACATACAGGCTGTGGGCAGAGAGCATTTTTAAACAAAACAAAAAAAAAAAATTGGTCCAAATACTGGCTTAGTGACCAGCACAGTGGTTGGAGAGTCTCCCCATGGAGTTGCAGAGAGTTTAATTTGGATAAAAATTGAGGTATTGCATTTTGGTAAGGCAAACCAGGGCAGTACTTAGTGGGGCCTCAGGATGTGCTAAACAAACCTACCAAGAGGTGCAGATGCATAGTTCCTCGAATGCAGTCAGAGGTAGACAGGGTGGGGAAGGACCCGTTTGGCACATTTGCCTTCAGTTGTTAAAAGCAGAGTACAGGAGTTGGGATCTTATATTATAGCTGTAAAGGATTTTGGTGAGGCCACTTCTGGAATACTGTGTACAATTCCAATCACCCTTCAATAGGGAGGTGGTTTTTAAAAACTTGAGGGTTCAGAAAACATTTAAAAGAGGGTGTTACTGGGATTGGAGTGTTGTTTAGGTCATAGGGATGGGATTTTTCCTCATCCCCCACTGAGGAGGCACAAGGGATGACTGTAGAGGGTTATCAGATCATGAGGGGCATCTCACACACACACACACCACCCTCTGCATGGGGAGGTGTATGTAATGAGCTGCATAGGAAGAGGTGGAGGCTTGTACGATTACAATATTTAAAAAGACATTGGCTGGGTACATGAATTGGAAGAGTTAAGGGAGACATGGGCCAGCATTTGGCCCATAGGACTAGATCAGATTTGGATTTTTGTTCAGTATGGATACCTTGGACCAAATGCTAACTGACTATTCATGAGCCAGGATCTTGGTTAGCTTAGCTGTAGTCATAGCTGGAAGGATTCAAGGGGGCCACAGTGTAAATCTTAGTCTAATCACTTAAACCAGAATATCTGTTGGCAGAGGCACCTTTGCAAAAGAAATATTTATTCAGCAGATGGGGTAACCCACCCAATTAGTAAAATAAATTGGTCTTTGAACGCAACTTTAGAATCATCTTGTACTCTTCACTGGAATGTAAAATCCCAGTCTATTCAAGGACCTACCTTTGAATAAAACTATCATCCTTCCAATTCAAGGAGAGAAGAGTCATTCCAGGAGAATAGGGCAAGCTCCAGTGTCTGAAATTTGTTAGGTCAAAAGACTGCAGTAATAACTTGGCATGGTTTACATTTTGAAACTGAAGAAAAGGTTTTGGGATTTAATAAAATTGTTGAGAATTTGATCAGATGCCATAAGCATCACTCATGTCAGGATGTAATGGGGGAAAGTTGTCAAGAGCTTTTAAAAAAAGTATGATCCAGGAACAGGTCTTCTGACAGTTAGCAATAGTACACAACATATCCTTTCAGTACTTGACTGTAGAGATACATATAAACAAGTTATGAGCAGATCAATCTTTTAAGCCTGCCAAAGATATGACTGATTTGTTGTGTTCCAAATTCCAACTGAGATTTGGATTCCCTTAAAAACAAAACTGAATGGATGTTAGACTTGAACGCTATTATTGAGCTCCAACTACTCACTCCCATGTGCTAAAACACATGCCTCAAGCACAAGCACAATTGCTCATCAGCCTTTGATGCCTTAAAACTCTACCAGCAGTTTGTGGATCTTGTATTGTGCATCCTACACTTCTCACCCCACTTTTGAAAATAAGGAGAAAGGAAACTGGTGAGCAAGGGAGAAGATACAAGTAGGTACAGGCAGAAAGTGGACCACTAGAAGTTGTTAGTACCTAGTACTAAAGAAAACCAACATGGAGTATTTCCAGACAAATTTTATTTCTCTCTGGGAGCACCATTACAAGGTATGAGTTGTATACATTCCAAGCTCAAGGAATAACCAACTTTGTTTTTTCTTATATTAAAATGTCCATTTGTTGCATACTAGGAGACTGAAACTAAAGTGGAATGGAGAAAAAAAAAAAGGATCTTAGCCAGTTAATCTTGGGGCATACACTTAGGGTGCACAAGTTCATTACTCTTACTTCCAGTTTGCACCTCCCAGTCAACCACATGATCAATATTTCAGGACATTAGGCATAATAGGACAGTGATTTTGTGACCAGGGCTTCACAGGCATTGAAATAAATGTCCAATATACAGAATTATACAAAATACACTGCAATATTGGTTATTTAAAGTTTGCTGGTTAATGTAGATTTGTAGAAGGAATGAAATTCTGGGGGCAATTTTCACTTGCTGGGGAAGGAACCCCATGAGACCAGGTGAATTAGTATTTAATGCCATCTCTTCAGTGGATGAAAAAAAACCAAGCAAACAAACTCCACAAGGCCAGGAGAAAAGTAATAAATCTGAAATGCAAGTTCCTTTCACATGGGGCAAGGATGTTGCTTCATGTGAATAGTCTATAGGACAGTGAAACAACTCCATCATTGAAGTTTATTGCAATTTCTTAATCTTCCTCCAAATTTACTCCTAGACCAAAAGAAGAAAAAAGTACAAGCTTTAAGCTTTTTGATATTTGGTGATAAGGATAGGAAAAAAGTACATGGGAGAGCAGATTACACCCAAATCTGCTTGATCACAAAATCATGGCCCTTTGCACTGAGATCAAAGCATGTCCAGTTAGGTTTGGGTACATATTCACTATACAAGATATAGATTAAACACATGCAAATATTGGCAGTGTATATCAAAAGGTTAATTAGAAAATAGCACCTGTAGGTTTAGTCATGGCCAAATCCAAAAGAATGTGGTGTTAATTTGCTGCCTATATTTAGTGGCATGTAATAAAACTAAATGCATTACACCAGAAAATTGATATCTTTTCACTCATCATTACAAAGTATTCCTATCCTTTTCAATTCATGGAGTGGACTTCATTTGGACAACAGTGAATTTCATGAAGCAAAGAGTGTGAATACCATGTGGATGGAAACACTCCATGAGCAGTGGCTTTAAAAAGCATACCTTGCATACTGGAAATGCAATTGCATCCTTAATATTGTAGTTGAGCCATAATCCATTCATTCAAATATCTATTGTAGCTATAGAGGATTGCTGGCTTTTTACAGCTATAAAAAGACAAACAACAAGAAACATTTGCCTCGTGGTCCATTCCCAGATCCGGAGAGAAACAAGTATCAATCCATCAATCATCACCACCACAAAGCTTCACTAAGGTGTTTTTATAATCACCACTTGTATCTCCCTGTGGGCAGAAATATCACATTGTTTAATCATATTAGAAAAAAAGTGGTGAGCTCAAGTAAACTTCCACACTTTTTTCTGTCCCTCCCCACCCCCACAACACCCCATCTCCCCAGTTTTCTTCCAACTTTTGGAGTAAAAGGTTCTCTGCACTTATGCAGAGAAAGCTGCATACTCAATAGCACAAGTGAACAAGTAATAAAACTGGTCCTGTGACTTTAACATTTAGTGTAATGCATCTACTCATCTACATAAACATGGATGGCAGTTCCACAATAGCCAAGTTAAGGCAAAATTGAATAGTTTTGTAATGGAGACTCCTTGAGTTAGAGTGGTAGTGTCCCTCTCTGAACCTGGGTATACAGGCTCAAGTCCCACCTACTTAGTGGGAAACATTCAAACAGATCAATTGGCAAGTATTTAAGAGATCTGTGACCACTAGTGCCAAAAAAAGCAAACAATTAAAAATCAGTACATTGTAGAACCAGAAATAGTCTTCAGTGTGGAAAAAAGCAGATGGTACTTCCTTGAAGTTGGAAAAAAGTAGCTTGATTTGGAACAATTCTGAAAACAAAACCAAACAAAAATCCACTAACATTGCTTTGAGCCAAAAGCTAGAACACCATTTGTTTAAAATTTTAAACCTTACCACAATTGAAGAATTAAGGGTGTCACCATATTTTGCCTTATAAATAGCTTTTATTTCCACCAGGTCAATCTCAGAGCGAGACACCATAATTCTCATCAGAGTGTCGTCATCTGTTCCAGCACCCTGTTTTTAAACAAAGGAAAGCCTTTTAAAATCATAAGTGAAAGCAAAGAGGAAAAGAGTCTCAGCCTGATACAGTGAGGGACTATTCTGCTGTGTACAACAGCGCGAGAGAGCGAGCGCGAGCGCCTCCTGCTTCAAAAAGACCTTGGACCCCAATTATAGTGGCACCTACAGAGAGGTTTAGTGACTGTTTCTGAACATTTACCCACCTCCATAACTAGACAACTGCAGCAGATTACTGGCCAATTTCCAACTCCCACACAGACAGTAGGTTAACACCAAGAGCAGGTAAGTCAGAAGCCCAGGCATCAAGCTGAGCAGGACATATGACACACACAGACACTTTAAAAATGTATATGAAATTGGTATTTATACTGCATGTTGAACACAAGGGAAGGTGTCCAGGAGATGGGAGAATTTTAACAGATAAAGAAATGTTCATCTTTTTGGCTCTGGTCAAAGTGGAATTATTCAGTGGAGCAATAAGGATGGCTTTAAAATGAATTTTAAAAAAAGTTAGTTGAGGATTCTGAACATCCAGGCAATATTTTGTCAGTTGCAAAACAGTTGAACAGTCGTTTGCCAAAGCAAATGCTTACCTTCATTGCATTATAAAGCTTTTCTGCAAAATAAGCTGGTGTATTCTTCACACATTTGACTGAGGAAGAAAATGAAAAAGTGCTATTGCCAATTATAATACAGGTAGTGAACACAGTACAACCTTGAAATGAAGAAGATTTAGTGCAGACTAATAGCCATTTAAAGTGGTATTTTGGCTGTGCAATGGCCTGAAAAAGCAGCATTAAATGTCAAGTACTGTGAGTAGCACCCAATATTTCTGCTTCATGTAAAAAGGGAACAGTTTGCACCAATAATAAAAAAGATCATGAAACAGGGAGACCAAGAACAAAGTTTGTTGCATATCTGAAGACAAGAGTCTTCTTAATAGGAGAAAACCACTACTAGACTAAGTAAATCCTGTCCTTCCCAGTCAATAGAATAGCAGCAGCAAGTCTAGTGGATGGATCTTTGCACTGAATTTGTAGCTGCTTAAACAAATAGGTGCTATAGGGTCTGGTTGAAGGTGTTTTAAAATAGCACAATGAGACTATTTAATAATGCAGAATTACTGAAGCGTCTAATAGTAATGAGCCAATTACTGCAAATGCCAGAATGTAAAAAAAACAAAATGCTGGAGGAGAGCACGAGAGAGCGTGCTAACATGGAGTCTATGTGACTCTTCAGAGCTGACATGAAGTCACGTCACATTTTGTTAGCTGAGGAGCAGTCTAAACATTAGCTTGCTTTCTCTCCATGGACACTGCCCAACAGGCTGATCTCCAGTCTAATAGTTAAATTTCTTAGAAAACCAGACACCACTGTTTGTACAGATTGACAAGTGTGCCAATCTACTCCGTTCACACAGGCAGACAACAGCAGGTTGAGAAGGGGTTCTGTTCTGGAATGTGCACATTAGTCAATTTGTACCCAAATTGACAATGCAGTACAAAATAAAATAACCTTGTGTACAAGCAAACATTCCTGTCAGAACTTTAAAGTTAGCATTAATATGGGATAGTGTTTGTACATGCAAGCAGTAGCCCTTCCAAAACATGCAAACTCCATAGACAGCCACTCAAGGGTGGAAGCGAACCCAGATCCTGGCACTGAGGCAGCAGTGCTAACCACTGCCACCCCAATGAGTTGTTTAAGTGGCAAGCAGGGTCTCTAGTGCAAGTCATTTGGAAATAAAGCAAAGACATCACCACAGCTTCTTAGTTATAGTTAATGGGCTTCTGTTCCTCACTGCTTTTGAGCTATGCCCACATTAGCATTCATTTCCTATTCTATTTCAAACAAAGAGCTACTAAAATAAACTCTGCTACGTTAGTCAATAAATGGACTAATCTTCAATTGAGCTCTCACTTTAGAAAGTGACAGGAGATGCCTTACCAATGGCCAGCATAACTTGCTGCAGAGTGCCAGAACATTCACTGCCGATGCTATCTTCAATGTCAATGTCATTCGCTTTCTGGTACTCGTCAAATACTAAAAGCATACAAAAAGAGGGAGTATAAATAATGACAAAGTAGGAGATTAGATGTTCTGCTAATGGTGAAGCATTCAGCAAACTGTATTCAAATCAATGGAAATTAAAATTTAAAGTGGATGCTATTGGCTGTAATGATAAATTGAAGCTAATGATACTACTAATAGTAAGTAATGGTGGCAATTATTTTGGCTCATAGGCCAACTGAGATAGTTTGCACTTTATAATTGCATTGTTGCCAGCTAATTATTTCTACACTCATGACCCTCACTCAATAGATACATTTTCTCCCAGATTCTGATTAGAGATGGTGTTCATTAATACCTGCTAATAAGTGAGGAACACTCCTCGAACAGAGAATAGCAATGAATTTTTCTTCATCTGTGCCCCATGCATTTTCACCAGCTTCATAGAGAGCCTTTGAAAAAAGACAAATTTCAATGAAAAAAAAACACAATGTAACTACGTACAAGGAATGCCTTTCATGTTAAAAAGTCTTAATCAGAATGTGGACATTAGAGGCAAAGCCAGTGTTTATTGCACCTGTAATAATTACTCTGGAGGTAGCAATAATCTGTAGTCACTGGAGTGTGGGCACACCCTCCAGACTATATCTAGGAACAAGACAGTTCCTTCACTGTTGCTAGGTAATATCATTCCAAGTTAGGATGGGTTCAGCTTTGAACATGGTAATAAGGTAGCATTTCCATGTCTCAGCTGTCCATCTAGATACTAGTGGTCATGGGTTGGGAGGGTGCTATCAGAGCCTTGGTGAATTTCTGTGCAGTCATCTTGCCGATTGACACCACAATGCATACTAAGTGGGTTCAACTGTGGAACACCAAGGGGCTGTTAGGTCCTCTTGGAGATGGTCATTCCTGGCACTTATGGCCAGTGCTATTCAGAGGGAGCATGTCCAGTTAGCTGGACCAGCTGGCATCTGTGGGGCTAGGGACCTCACAGTAGGAGCATCTTTTGCACAGATGGGCTGAGCTCCCCCTATTCTGTGGGGTGGAGTGGAATTTGTGGAGCTTCCAAAAAGTTGAGTGATTTTTAATGGGCAATTAATCAAGTAGATGTGAAGGACTGACCACTTAAGTGGAGGTGGGTGCTGCTGACTGGGCCAGCATTAGATCAGTTTTACTGGTTGTGGGATCACTTGGCTCAGTCTATTGCTTAGGGTTTGGCCCCAAAAAAGAAAAAAACACCACCACAACAAGCAAAAAGTTAGATGAGATGACCCCCCAGGCCACGAGGTTGAATACGATTCTGATGACCCCATAACACCTAGCAGATGCTATGTTGGTTTCCAGATCTAGTCAAAGTCTAGCAAAGAGTCATAATGCCACAAGTGCTGTCCATGTGCAGATAGGATTTACATCCAAAAAGGCCTGTGGGGTCACGCTGATAGTACAGACCTAGACACTGAAGAACAGAACATCATTTCCCCTTTTACTTGGACTTTCCAAAAAGATAGGCAAGCTGATGAGAAGTCATGAATGAGAAGATAAGAAGTTGGCTGCTCAATAATATGTATGCATCTCACCTTAGCATCATCTTCTGCTTGGGAAGCATCTGCATTCCCTTCATCACGATTACCCTAGGTTTAAAAATTCAATGCAATAAAAATCAGCAAACCTTAATGACCACTGGCAGTCATGAGAAAACAGTTAAATAAAACCACAACCAGAATTCAAAACATTTGCAGGGAAACCTGAAAAAAATTGCAGATTAGTGATTTTTAGGAGCATTGCTATTAACTTGGTGCTACAATCCTCAGCAGCACAATTGCATGCCTCATTTGTACAAAACCATTCCCAATCTAATTAGGACTTGTTTCACATTACAATTTGCAATCAGGAGTTTGCAAAAAATTGCTCCTTTCTCTGGAATGTAAACCCAGAATTAGGGACATTGAGGCAAAAAATGTTACCTCAGGTCCCATAATATTACTCAAGAGTCAGTCAACCACCTTCACAAGACACATTCCAGAGTTTCCCCAAATCCAGGTCACTGCTTCATTGACAAGGGCTAGAGGGAACCTCTTGCTAAAAAAGCAGCACATCATGCAAGCCAGTTCTACCAAGGCCAGGGGAACACCTGCTAGAAATCTAAAAAGACTGATGAAAGGATGCAATTAAAATCTTTTTAAAAAAACACCAGTGGTCTAGGTTAGGTTAAGATATTTATTTCAAGTGGTCATGCCAAGCCATAGGACCTTGGAAGGTCTTCAAAATGTCAGTTGTTTGATAATGACAGATAATTATAGTGGTGTCCAAAGGCAG